AATAGTATTTTTGCGGCTTAAAATTTACAGATACTAGTCCATATCATGACTCTATTTGTGTACTGACCTACTTTTGATTAATTCATCCAAATTTTGACAAATTCCGTGACATTCCGCGTCATACAGTAAATTCCATTTATATGACTGGATTCCGCGATTCCGTCCACATTTTCTGCATTGCGGAAATCATAGATAATATTGAGGTGTTTTACATCTTCAGTGTAACGTTAGTGGATTGTGATTTATTGCAACTTAAGCAACGTCTGCTGCTGCCTTCCTTTGAGAGACAACTGATGCGTGATCACTGAAGTAGCTCCAGTTAGCAAGCGCTTTCGGAATGAGTGAATTCCGCATTGATTGGTCGGTCTCGTGACTCCTAACAAATCAGATGAGCTGTGGGCGGAGATTGCTTTAGGCCACAGAGTGTTGTGTTCTGACAGGCTGCATCAGAGCCAAATAGCGCTTTTCAAAATTAAGTTATTTTATCGGCGAATCGGATTTGAAAATGACCGATCATCATAAAAATGCTTAATATCGGCGCCGATAATCGGTCGACCCCTAGTCTAGGGTACAGCCAACTGAATGCGCTGCTTCACTGCCGCTCGCTGCACAGAACAGACACCGAGAGAGGCGACACTGTGCCAGAAAAGTCAGACCCCGTGCTCGCGGGGCAATACTGGAGAAATCTTCCAAATGAATGAAAGCTAAGGTTTATCCGTGCTCGTATGTTTTTGTGTGTTTGTGGCGCTCGTGTGTGTGAGACGCGGGAGCTGATGGCAGGGGGCGGTGGATATTTGTGGCGGTCAATGTGGATATTTGTGGATAAGTTCTTCTGTGTCATCACGTTCTACTAGTTTCTACAGTTTCGGAACTTTCGCGCTTAGTAACACAAACAGCTGTGCTCTCAACGCAGGGCAACAGTGAAAAGAGACCCCTCTCAAACAGTGTCGCATTACGAATGTTATTTAAACGACATACACCGGTATTGCGGTATTTTAAAAATTCATATAAGAAAAATAAACGCCGGTATTCGGTATGAACCGGTATACCGCCCAGCAGGTTTATCCGTGCTCGTATGTTTTTGTGTGTTTGTGGCGCTCGTGTGTGTGAGACGCGGGAGCTGATGGCAGGGGGCGGTGGATATTTGTGGCGGTCAATGTGGATATTTGTGGATAAGTTCTTCTGTGTCATCACGTTCTACTAGTTTCTACAGTTTCGGAACTTTCGCGCTTAGTAACACAAACAGCTGTGCTCTCAACGCAGGGCAACAGTGAAAAGAGACCCCTCTCAAACAGTGTCGCATTACGAATGTTATTTAAACGACATACACCGGTATTGCGGTATTTTAAAAATTAATATAAGAAAAATAAACGCCGGTATTCGGTATGAACCGTTATACCGCCCAGCACTATGTACAAGCCAGTGGATTTGTGTGAATTTGTTATGGGTGTCTTTCTTGCCTGTTCTCCCAAATTCATTGATCATAACTCTACAACTCGAGCCTGGTGTTCCCTCCCCCCACCAACCCACACACACTTCATCTGGATGTCACGGGTGGCTGGGCATCGGGCTATATTGAACATGTACGTGGCCTACCCTCCCCCCTCGTGCCATAAACATCCCATGTTTAGCTCGTTCATCTCTAGGTTTTATATGTCCTACTTTATTTACACCCATGACACCCAATGTTTTCTGACCTGTTGTCCCCCTTTTTTTCCCCTTTTGAGAAAGAAATGTAGTAATGTATACTACATTTTCTACAGAAATGTAAATGTAGTACATAAATGTAGTTTTGCCTTGGTGGTCTGTCAAAGGCTCTCATGTTCCCTCTGAAGGAAGCACATTCCCAACGTGCTTCAGTTCCCTAGCATCGCTCACCTCCCCCGTCTGCCCTCTCCCAGAAAGTCAGGTCTTTTTGAGAGGGTCTGAGGGTGTTTATTGGTTGCCATCTGTCAGGATCAAAAACACAGCTGGATGGTAAGTCCTGCCCTATTGTGTGAGGGTCACAGAGGGCAGACAGAAGGGCCTTTCGCACCGCTTTAGTTCCAGAACTAAATGTACAGTACTAAAGTACTGGGACGATTTTGCGCAAACTATTTCCCAGTACTATTTAAAGGGTTTTTCGTACACGTTTGGCCAATCAATGTCTACTTACGTCACGGGTAGTACCAGTTGTGCCGGTTAGACCCTGCTCCGGAGTAGGAGCTAATTTGGTTCTCGAAAAAGGCAGTCCGGTACTAAAATCGCACCCAGTTCCGGCGGTGCGAAAACGCCAACAAGTGGGTAGTTCCACAATTAGTTCTGAGACTATGAAAAGGTTCCCGCGGTGCGAAAGGCCCTAGACACTCCCAGAATGAAGAGCCTACATCTCTATAACCCATGGTCTGAGCTCTCCAGCTGCTCTCCTGCGGCTTCCCCATCCTTTCTCAGCTGAGAGATTGTGTTAAATGCCCAGTCTGGCTCTGTGTGTTTGAGATCTTAAGGGTGTGGTGTGGTTTTATCTCAGTTGACACTAGTAGACCCCCACCCATTCTTTACTTGCTCGCAGAGAGCATTTATTCAGGCTTTTCTGCCAGCGTAATCAGGTACACCGTATATGTTGCTGCAGCGTAATTGGTGCGTCTTATAGTTCCCGTCTTTGCTGCCATCGTTTGACATTCAGATGTTTGTCACTGGAATGTCACTTGACGCAGCTGAAACTTTAACTTGTGTTTTTTAAAAGTTTTTTTAGATAGTGCTAGTCATGGAATGTTTCCTACCCATGTGCATAGTCTGTCGCTACTGTTAATTGACTGCAACTGTTCAGAAGTTTGGGGTTGGAATTTTTTAATTCAATGTTAAAAAAGATTTCTATTCTTTATAAATGCTGTTCTTTAGAACTTTGTTTTCATCAAAGAATCTTGGAAAAAATTTCGTGGTCTCCACAAAAATATTATGCAACACGTTTTCAACGTTTATAAGAAATATTTCTTTAGTACCAAATCATATTAGAATGATTTCTGAAGGATCACGTGACACTGAAGCTTCATTGATTCAGCTTTAAGCTTGATAAATGTATTAAAACAGAAAACTGTGCTTTTTACTCTGTTTTTGGTCAAAAAAAAAAAAAAAAAAAAAAGTGTGTGTATATATGTATATATATGTATATATATGTATGTATATATATATGTATATATATATGTGTATGTATGTATATGTATATATATACTCCAAATGTTTGAACGATAGTTTTCGTGATGTAATCAATAGGGGTGCTTCGATTGATGAGCTACCGATCCCTATCGGCCGATAATCATGTTGGGATGTTTGATCGGCGGTCTCTAAAAAGGCCGATCTCAAAAAAACGATCTCGAGCTGATGGCGCTGCCGTGAGAGGTTTGGTTACAACGTCTCCCGTCTACCCGGCGCGGGTAAAATAATTATAATGCTGAAGGTGAGGTATCTATCTATAAGCGAGCTGCACAGTTGACAGGAATTGTCACTTGCACAATCGAGGCAGTGTCACATCGTCACTAAAGTTTATAAATCGCATTACTTTCTAATTCTTGCCAGTGTTTAACCATTCAGCGCCCGTGCGCTCTCCTGGTGCACACTCGCAGCGCACACACATAATGCCAGGTTCACATTACTCCGTTTGCAGTGCGTATGTGGTGCATATTTTTTTCCGCGCTCATGTTAACGGATTAATAAAGCATGCACACTGCGCACGGTTGCGGTCCTGCAGTGCTTTCCAAGAGCGGTGCATCTGCAACAGTGCAGAGATCGTTTCCGCACCGAGTCTATTTTTGATGCGCTGAATTAAAGTAACAGTGCATTGTTTGCAGTAAATATGAACATGGATTGACACGAAAATGTAGTAATTACACCATAAATGCGTATTATTAAATGTTTCACAGTCAACACATATGGCATTTTGGCTAGGTTTAAAGGGAAGATAAACAAGGCAATAATAGATGGCACTCGTGGAGGTAGGAAAACAAAGTTCTTTATGAACCGCAGGATTGCTTGTGATAAAGATTTCAATGCAAAAGGAAAAGCAGTAGAGCTGACTATATCTGTAAGTTTGTGATAATGTAAGAAAAGTAGTTTAAATGTTTTGCCACTTGCTTGAGCAACTTAATATATAAATATAGAAGTAAATGCAAAAGTAAAAAGCATTGAATAATGTGTTGCTTATATTTATAGTGTTTAAACATGTCTGTGAAAGATTGTATTACTGTACTGTGTAAAAAAAGAATTGCAATGCTGAAAAAGCGTTTTCAGTGACAATGTTTGGATTTGAAATCAAAATAATGGAATGATTATAATGTTGGAATAAATGTTGTGTTTGTGGTAAACAGCCACAGATCAGTAGCGGACTCCTGTGTGAAAGCACAGTCCGTGCTGCTTCCCCTCACAAGAGACACCTAAGAGGGGAAATTCCCCCCATTTTCAAAAATGAAATTCAGGCCCTGAATAAATATCTAAAAATCCTAATTAGAATATCACTATAAATAGTTATAAATGATAAAAAGAAGGCTTTACAAAGATCGGTATCGGCAGATACTGCTTTCTGTGATTGGCCTCAAAAATCCTGATCGGAGCACCCCTAGTAATCAAATATTTGATTATGCATTCTACATCATGATGAGGCTGATTGTAGCTTGATTTTCATTTGTCGAATGAAACTAAGCTATGATTGCATTGTCTAAGTTTGTTAGTCCCACTTTGCAAAAACCAGATGGGTGTGGTTTCAGCGTGACTACATTTACGTTTACATAACATTTTAAAACAAGTTATTTAGTCTTGACAAATCAAGTTTTTGAATTGCATTTGCATACAATGTACTTATTCACAGGATGGATCATTGTCGTCTTGTACCTACATACAGAACTTGACTAAGAGATCTGATTTTGGTTGTGACATGAGCATTCCTACCCTGTCAACTGATTAATTGATGCTGGTAATTATTTTTTTTTTTCAGTGCAATAGTAAACTAATTGCCTCTTATTTCTCTCCAGGGTGAATTGCTAACACACTACACAAGGACTCACCCTGAGGGCTTTTCGATACCCCAGAGATTCATAATACTAATTTAGAGGTATGATTTTCACAAATTATGTAAGACACACATTATTGTATACTTTACTTACATGGCTGTAAAATTAGTTTTGATTAGTTGGCATTATAAAGCTCAATCGGTCTATATTACTTTAAAAACATGGTTGGTTGTATTTGATTATTAATTCAAAAATTCAAATCATATTTTCCTGATTCACTAGTTTGGTAGGCAAGTGTGAGGCCCCCTCATGCAGAACCACAGGAAATGAATAAACCACCTCAGCCTATAACAGGACCCCCTGCCGTTCCCCACCCCGCCCAATCGCCAGGACTGACACAGGTGAAAGCAGAATCGGTGAAACGTACGGTTGTGATGAGGATTATTTGAGTCTCGTTTAACAATATCAGTGTTTCCATTTGTTCCACAGGCTGCCTATCCCCCAGGTCAGCCTCCCTCTGTTGTTTTTCCCGGGCCATCTCCACAAATGAACACTGTACCGCAACCCAGACAGGTACACCATCTTCAAGCTATGAAACTCTCCACAATCGTCAAAGCTTTCAGGTTGTTTTGTGGCTTAGCTAGATGTCCTAATTCCTGCTTGTGTCTGAGGAAAAACTGCACGTGTGACAGAGTCCACCTCTTTTTTGCATCTCAACTTTGACCTTTTACTCTTTACTTTCCTCCCAGTTTGTGCCAGGGCCTCGTGCTTTACACCAACAGGTAATGAAAATTATTTATAAAGGAACATGAATTTGTCACACTGCAAGATGATTTAAAATGAACTTAAGGAAAAGAGATTATTAAAATTGTACAAAAAGGCCAGGCAGAGTTACGCTTTAATTGAAAATGTAATATTTTAATTTAATTTAAACTAGGTTTTATCCCCCCCCCCCCCCACACACACACACAAAACTAGTCTGTAATAAACAGGTTTTCTTGCATTTAGGTGCTGCTTTTGCTGGTCTTTCTGTGTTCATTACCATTTTCATTAGGGTTGGGAATCCATGTTTAAGGAATCATGTTCTGATTCGATTTTTTTTTTCCCAGACATACCTGCTTCACAAAAAGCACTAAATGTTTAAATACATTTATTTACTTATTGCAACAAACCTGTTCCTGATGTATCTTGATGAGTAACCACTTCATTTATTTTAATTAAAAACACCATAATTTCTTTCGAGTTAGACTTGATAAGTGATGACGTACCCCATACAGTTTCTTAGGTTTATTCGGTGTCATTAAGACAGTTTCAAACCAATCAGTCTTTCTGCTTGATTCTTTGTAAACAGCTTGCTCATTAAAGGGGTCCTATTATGCTTTTTCACTTTTTTAATTTTAGTGTGTATGTTTGGGCATAAAGATCTTCAAATTTACTAATCTCAGTCAACTCAAAAGGGAGATATTTCGTTTTTAAAAAATGGCAGGGGGAGGGGCAGGGTCGTGGTTAGAACGCTTGGTTGAGTGCATCAGACAAGATGACGACGAAGAAGTGCTGCTGTAGCCTCAAGTTTTAGCAAGTTATTACACATGCACCTGAATAATTATGTATGTTACAATTATGAAAATGTTTTTATAATAAATTGCTGACAGTACAATACTGGACAATGATGTAATCTGCAGAATTCACACTTCAATTATGAGACTACAGTGTTTCCCATACATTGAGTGCGGGTGTTTTTATATCACTGTATTTCTGAAGGAAACCGACTGACTTCAGAAAATTGGATGTCATTTTCATTTAATCTTGCATGTAATGTCTAATAAAGCCGGTGTTATTTTTGAGCGGAGCCCTGCTTTGTGTACAGCCATTACGGGGAAACCTTGATCTCTACCACTCCAACAGCGCCTCCTGCTGGCAGAGAATGAGTTTGCATAAGTTTGCATATATATGCCGCCTGGGAAACACTGGACTACGGTATAAATAAACTCAACTGTATAACAGTTTCACTGCAATTCATGTTATAATGTTAGAATTAAATAACAATAAAAATAATACATATGCACTTATCTGTACATAGTAAATGCAGTTATTTTTAAGCGGTTGTTGACATAACAACAATAACATTACCACTCTAATATGTCTTGCAATATCCGTGCGTGCAAAGGTTCTGCGCGATCCTCTTCAATATTCTCTGGGTCTGAATCCAGCTCAAATTGTTATCTCAATATTGACGCCATCCTTAACGCACTGGGATAGCTAACCAATCACATCACATTTCGTTTTTCGGAAGGCGGGCGTTCATCAAACCCGGAACGAATTGAGCCGTTTGTGCCAGACTGGGGAGAAAGGTATTGTAATAATGTAAATTATGTAAAAAATAATGCGTTTTTCGAACCACCAAGCATGAGAGCATGTTCTAGTACACCCCCAAAACAAATTCAAGACATTGTAAAAGAGCATAATAGGACCCCTTTAAAGTTACTGGTGGTACTAAATGCTTTCTTTGTTGCATGCAACCAAGTTACTTTTGCATTTAATCAAATAATCCACATGTAATTGGATTGATGGGTGATTCGGACTGAAAAGCCTTATAAACACCAAGCAGAATGAAATTTCAGTCAGGTTGAAAAGGGTGGTGTAGACCTGAAAGAATCAGATCAATGTGAAAATGTGGAATGTAAACACTTCCTAATTTCTTATGCACATGTTTATTTATATTTTACAAACTGATGTATTTAATATATACTTCTGACATTGACTCTTCTTCAGCTGTCTTTTTAGATATGTCATCAAGGCAAGAACAATTACACTTGCTGTAGCTCTACTATTATACTATACTGTTTTTATGAAATGGTTTCTACGTAGACAGAAGAATGCATGAGAGTTGTTAACAGAACTGAACCTTCTAAATATAATTCTGAATACGATTTTTGTCAATTCCCAACCCTAACGGTCAAAAGACTGCATGTGTTTTAATAGCCATTTTGAGTCTCATCCTTTCACCATGGCCAACTTGTTCCCTGTGTGCCACTGACCTTTGTTGTACTTGCTCTGTATTTCCAACCCTCTACGGACACCTTGGCAATTGAATCGCCATTGGCTAGTAAATTTTTTTAAGTTTGCTCGCCAGAAGTACACACATCTGAAAGTACACTCTTAACATAACTAAAACTTAGGACTGGTAGTGGTGCTTTTTTGATTAATTCTACTAAGAACAATATAAAACGCACTAAGGATTAAAGAGCTGCTGGATTCATGAATATTAAGCAGGCTGTGTGCTTTCGCTTGAACTGATTTGCTGAAATAAAAACGGGGACTATAATAGGTGAGTGCCAGCCAATGAGATTGTCGTTTGTGCATTAGTTCTGCCCACTACCGGAGAACCCGGCAGTTCTTAAACGCTGAAGAATTCCAAAGGAACTCTGTTATTTTGACAGGAAAATACAACAAAGAATATCGTTTTCATGTAGCATGTCAATTCTGCATAATATGTAACACTCTCTTTCGCTCTCCCTCTTTGCGTGCCAAAAAAAAAGCAAAGCGATGGCGAGTGGTGCGCCTTTACTCTAGAGTTTACGGTACGTCAAATCAAGGTGGTCTGCGCATCCATTCAGATGAACTGAAAAAAAGCACAGATCTCTTGACGGAGAATGAAACTCTGAAGCGCTCAGTCAGTGTTTTCGGCGAGAGAAAATATATCTGTGCTAAACTTACAATTTTTATCCAACTCACACTGGCGAGTAAAATCTGAGATTTTATTAGTCGTCATTTAGTCACCCAGAGTTAAGATTCAGTCGCATATGCGAGTGATTTACTCGCAATGTAGAGGGTTGATTTCTCACACCGTGTCCTAACTACATGCGATGCGACAAGATTCCAGCGACAAGGCAATTTGGTTGTCCACACTAGACGCGACGTGACCGAATCAATCAAATATCACAGCCAATCAGAAGCATGTGTGGGCGGGCTCTCTGTGGAAGCGCACTGCTCTTGCAACGAAATGGATACATTTATAATCTAATTCATGAATATGATATAATATTTATATAAATATAGCTAAGCGACGTCGCGGAAATAGAAACCATTTCTAAATTAGAAATTTCGCGTGTCGTCGTCGCGACTAGTTAAGACAAACTCTGATTAACTTGGAAAAGATAACTTTTGTCGCGGCATCGTGTGCAGTTAGGACACGGTGTCAGGCTGTTCTTAACTGTGCGTGTTGGAAGCTTGCTTTCACTGCTGAAGGCTAACGTTTACTGCTGCTGCTTTTTGTCTGTTTCTCTCTTACGCCTTCTCTCCACACTATTTCTTCTGCCATTTTGTGTGGCTGAAGGGTGGATTCAGGTCACTGCAGGTAACTGGCCCTCTCATCTCCCTCTGTCCACAACCAACGTAATTATACTGTCCAGTTCTTGAGTTCTTGTCATATATGCATGTCAAAGTGTACATGAACATTTTAAAGAAAAGGCAAGTTACAAGTTATACTGATGAAGTTTATACAATAAGACTAGAAATGTAAGAAAATGGTGTCATTTTGATATTATGAGAAGGACCACAAAGGAAAATTTTTTTTTCATAATTATTGCTGTGAACTGGTGGCATGTTAGGAAAACGTGCAGTCTCACTAAGCTTTAAGTATGTGAATGTGACAACAGTATAGGGCTGGCGATATGGCCAAAAAAATTATCACGGTAATTTTTTTCATATCAGTCGATATCGATAATTATCACGATAAATGTCAAATCTTTATTTCTTTCAAGTTTAAAGCCAGATTTTTGCTCCAAAGTGAAAGTTGTAGAAACCAGACCATTAATTTTCCTTAACAAAATATCTCAACAGAAAAATTTACTTAGTTTCTGCATATTCTAATGAGTGATATTGTTTCAAATCAAGAAACTGATTCGGGTTGCCTGATAATATTAATAGTAATATAACTTTTTTGTCTCTTAGAAATGCATATTTGATAGTAGCTTGAGTTAGGATGCAGAGGTAAATTTTTGTTCATTACTAAAAGCCGTAACATCTGTAAAAATTGTAGCAACCTCAGTTTTATATGGTTAGATTTATTCTGACCAAGGTTTTTTGTTTTTTGTTTAATTAAGCAATGGTCTCCCATAGTAGCATACATTTAAATCATGATAAACACAGTTAAAATCACACATATAGCACCTCGATACCATAAATATAACTATATGATTTTTAGGTAGCCTATTTGTATGAAAAACAGTAGTCTAAAAACATTCAGTATAAATGCACACATATAGTACGTATTTGTGATTAAGCTATAGCATAGCTTAATCACAAATACGTACTTACTATAATTACCATTACTCCTGTATTAAAATTCAGTGTGAATATCCCAAATTTCTGCCACAATACCATGGTGCAGTGAGTGTTACTACAGTAAATCCATGGTAAATGATGGCGATGTGTAGATTGAAAAGCCTTCTGACGGTCTCGTTGCACACTAGTTTAAAGCCAAACAGGAGAAACAGTTTAAATCACTGAGTCATTTGTGTTCATCGCGGAATTCAAGCACTGGATCTCACAGTGCTGTTTAATGCTCGCGTGACCGAGTAAACGCATCTGGTCTAGTGAGCTCGCGCCGTGCGGCCGTTTGAACTTTGATCTGAGCGGATAAATGGTCCGTGTGGCGTTTCGTTCCGCTTTTGGTGCATAAACATTATATCGAACATTTATCGAACTCTTCATATCGTTTTATTGAGAAATTATATTGCGATAATTATCGTTATCAAATTATCGCCTAGCCCTACAACAGTATGTCACAATTCTGCTCTTTTGTTTGTAATTATAATAAATAAGCATCAATTGTTAGTCAAATATATTGGGCCTCATTCATCAAACATTCGTAAATATAGGAGTAAATTCTGAGTAATTTGTGTGTAAAATGGACCTTCCCGAAAACTCTTCTCCGGATTCACAAACTCTTCGTACACATCAGGGCCCGTATTCACAAAACATTTTATCTTACCACTAAGAGTTCTCCTAAATAGCAGTAAAAGTTTTTAGCTAAGAGTTTTCTCTTAAAACCTATTCACAAAGCTGCTGAGACAAACTTTTACTAAGGAATAGACAGAAGTCTTAAGTTAAGAGTAAGGGCGGGGTTGACCTTGTTGCTATGGATGATGTCAGCATACTTGCTAACTATGCACACAGTGATTGGCTGATAGTCTCTGTCAGAGATTTATTCATAGAAATATTGTAGAGCGCAATATTATGTTGCCATATTCAAATAAAGGTTTTAAAATAAAAATGTTAATTGACACATTCAAATAAAGATTTTAAAATGCAGGCTAAAGCCCTATTCGGACGGTAATTGTTTCTCAGGGGGCGTAAGTGATTTTCACCATTTACAGGGGGTAGTTGGTGATTTTAATGCCATCCGAATCCAGGATGTCGGTCTTTTTCTCTCACCACCCCCGTAAAAATCCCCGGCCAAATTACCTACTGTTTTTTTTTTTTTTTTTTTT